ATAATAGGGTTCGCTTTTTCTGCAGTTACTGCAGATAAATTATCTGCAGTAAGCCCAATACGACGTCGTTTTGGGGCAGAAATCATGATATTTTTATAATTTTAATTTATTTCAGAGTTATAATAGTCTTTATATTAATAATTTTTTAAAATTTCAATACCAAAACGATGTCGTTTTGAGAATAAATGCAGATAATTTATCTGCATTAACTGCAGAAACAATTTTTCCATTATAATAATATGACATTGAAGCTTTTTTTAGGATTCAAACCCATGTTCTTTGATAATTTCTTTTATCCCATCGGAATTATAATATATTTTTTTGCAATCCATAATTACATGATAATCTAAACCATTAAAATTATCATAAAACAATATGAAACATCTGGTGCACAATATCCCCTAACCATCATGGTAAAAGTAAATGATGTCAAAATCAAATCAAATTATATTTAATGATTTTTTAATTTTTAAATAAATTATTTTCAAAACATTTATTTGCAAGTAAAGATAAGAGAAAATTGTTTGTCCTTTGAAATGACACAACTTGTGTCATTTCACTATCACAAAGAGGTGAGACCCACACTTTTATATTTTTTTGTCTATTCTCTCTCCTTTTTTATATATTTTTTTTCTCATTTAAAATGACACAACTTTATATACTTTAAAATGATACACATTTTTTCCACAGATAAATCAAGTATATGATATTTTTTTACCTCCCTTTAATAGTAAAGCGATGATTACTTTTGTCGTTTTAAACTGAGTGGCACATTATTAAACCGTCTTTTTAGATAAACGTGTCTATTACGAATAAATTTTAGTCCTTTCAATTTGAATTTCATCAATATTTTATATTTTATAGAAAATAAAATTATTAATCTTTTAGATAAAATTATTTTTTATATATACATAAAAATATGTAAGACTCGTGTGAATTCATATAAAAGTAAAAAAAGAAAAAAGAAAATATGAGTCTTATATATTTTTATATATATGTAGGAGATAAAATTATCTCTTCTAATATTCATAATTAAAATAGTAAAAAGTGAGATTTATGTTACATTAACCATAAAAAAGAATTAAATAATGTTAAATGATTTTTTTTTTAGTATATGATATACCAAATACTCAATATTAGGAGAATACTTCAGACTTGTCAATCATATTTGCTTTTAGGATGTGTTTGGTACAGGAGAAATTTTTTGGTGACCGGTAATCATGATTAATGGAAATTCAGTAGAAATTGAGTTTACTTGGAATCTTACGAAAGATGTGTTTGGTTCGCCAAAATATTACCGGGAATACTAGGTAAAAATTACTGATTCCATATTTGGTTTAGAACGAAATATGACTTGGAATATGAGGTTATTTTACAAAAATAACTCCAAACTATTTTTACTTTTGTAATTGATAGATTGGGTCTAGATTTTTTATGTGTATTGGGGTATTTTTGTCTCAAAATTTATTGTTGTGCTTTCCCTTTACTTGGTATTCTGATTGGTATTCCGAATTACCATATTATTTTTGGTAATCTGAATAGTGACTTTTCTTTATAAATCAAATTACCAGTAATCCTTGGATATCCGGGAATCGTAATTTATTCCTTCTACCAAACGTGGTAATTACATTTACCAAAGAAGGATTACCGATAATCCTCTCCAAAAACTTGAACCAAACACCGGCGTTTGGTACAGGAGAAATTATTTGTCCGGGAATCTCAATTTTCAAAAATATGATTTTTACATTCAGTTTACGATAATATTCGAAAATTTAAAATTTAGAAAAATTCAGTTTCCCGGGAATCCGGCCAAATGCCGCGTACCAAACACCCCCTTAAGGTTTAAGAGTTCACACCATTTTTTTTTAATTATTTTTTGCCAATACATTCTATTATATTTCTGACTTCTGAGCGTACTACGAATAGGAAGGAAATATGGTTTTCTTTTTCCTGTGTAAAGAAAATTTTAATTTTAACTATATATAAGAATAAGTGAATGAATCAAATGATGATAATTCAGGTGACACAAACTAAAGGTAGGAGAATATGTGTTCGGTCTTCTTCAATATCATCTTTAGAAGAAATTTAAAATTTTAATCCAAAATTCGTTTCAAATTGAACTAGTTACGAAATTATAATCGATTGAAATATTTAAAAAAAAAAAACAAACAGGAAACGGACTTTGGAGTCAGCTTTAATGATCTTGGTATTGGTCATCAAACAACACAACTAATAATAAAGGGGCATTTCGCAGGAAGCATCATTGGATTATTCGAAGTGGTTTCCGAGTTGGCCAGTTATTTGTACCTGTCCCTTAAGCTGGAAAGTATAATTTTTAATACTTGGATATAAGCTTTAATTGGCTGTGTGCCAGAAGTTAAATATAAACACAACGAAAAATAAAAGAAAAAAACATACACGATTCATATCAGCGAGAATATTTTAACTATCAAAAATTTTTATTAGTAGCTTACTACTTATCACATCACCATTCAATCGAAGAGAGAGAATGTTAAAAAGTTTTTGAAGAAAGAATGTTAAAAAGTTTTTGAAGAGAAAGAAAATATTAATCTAACAATAATTAGATAGGTAGTAAATTAGTAGGGAGGATATCTCTCCTCTTCAGGCTTTTTTACTCTTATAACCCTTTATTATTAATTAATTACTGATTTGACCTTGATTATAAACTATTTCAAAAATTTAACCCTCTCAAAAAACATAACACCAATCTGCCCCTGTTTGACCGTTGACCACCAAGCCTACCCGGGTACACCCCTCTGTACTCGGGTATTTTTTGAAAATTTTTGTCTACCCGGGTAGGGAGGCGTGTACCCGGGTATTGTTCTTCGCACATGAGAAATTGCTTGAATTATTTACCCGGGTAGAGAGGGGTGTACCCGGGTAAATCTTCGACCACCCGGGTATGATTACTCTTTGGATCTCCCATGCACTCTTCTTCTCCAAGCTTTGAATATGGAGGCACCCACTATCACATGCTCCGCCTCTGCAACTTTTTTGGGTCTGTAAAGCACACAAATATTTTTCAATGATTATTTTAGAAAGGGAATTCTCAGTTAACACTATAAAAGTAGACCCCATCATAATCGATACGAACAGGGACCGCTTTGATGAGCAGTAAAGTGTTGATGTATGGAAATTCCAAATCCATTCTCAAAGCTAAAAGCTCTTCAAATTGGTTAGGCATGCTTAACTTGATAATACTGATCTATCTCATTAGCTGTAAAAAAGAGAGAAAAAAAAATTACCATGAAACAATTAATTACACATCCGCAAATATAATTAACTTGTGGTAAAATCAAATAAATCATATTTGTTCTTATATCCATCAGCTACAAGTTGCCCCAGTTATAGCAAGTACCAAATGGGTGGTCGAAGATTTACCCGGGTACACCCCGCCCTACCCGGGTAAATAATTCAAGCAATTTCTCAGGTACGAAGAACAATACCCGGGTACACTCCTCCTTACCCGGGTAGACAAAAATTTTCAAAAAATACCCGGGTACAGAGGGGTGTACCCGGGTAGGCTTGGTGGTCAACGGTCAAACAGGGGCAGATTGGTGTTATGTTTTTCGAGGAGGTTAAATTTTTGAAATAGTTTATAATCAAGGTCAAATCGGTAATTAGTTAATAATAAAGGATTATAAGGGTCAAAAAGCCCTCCTCTTCATATTATACTTATCCGGAGCAGAAAATTATGCTTATATTGATGTTAACCATTAGTTGGCTCACGGCGTGAACAATGTGTTCTTGACCTGTCTCTCATCACTACTTGTCTTTTTCCTTTTGCATACAAATCAATTTCTCCCAAAATACTAAAATGTCTTTTTGGTATGGGATGGTTAACTTTTGTGTTTAGATAAAGGGAACAACTATGCAATGTAAGAATAATTTTATTTTCAATAAATTAATTGAAAATTATGATTTTTTTTTTTTTTAAATAGCGGATCCTATGGTATGTGCGTCTATATCATGAAATATCTTATGATTAGATAAACCCTTAGATAAAAAAGTTTCTTTTTCAAAGGGAAAAATAAAGCAATTCAAAGGATGACTTTACTTAGTCATGAAGAGGTATCCTAGGTAGTTTTGTCCATATCAAATATAATCTTTGAAACGAAGCATTGCAAGAAAAATAAACAGAGAAAGAAAGAAAGAAAGATTCAAACAAGGACCCAAATCTCGCCACGTTGAGTTCTTCTTTCTTGTCCCACAAACATAGATTGGACTAGGAATGTTCCCCGGTAAGTTCTTTTTTCTCAGGTCATTGGAATTATTTGAACTACCAATATAAAATTAAAATAATAATATTTATTCTCAAATGTTATTTTCTATAAAATTCTCATGATTGCAATCATTTAAAGGTTTTGTAATATTACATATCACGCAGAATTGACGGTTCAAATTTTAAATGAATACAATTGGAAATGTCTTCAATACTATCAGTTTAATTAGTTGAATGTTTAGTTTAAATAAATACTCTCATCAAACTTGTGATGACATATCAAATTCCAGATTTAGTCATTTATATTTAGACAATGAACCAATCAAGCTGTTACAATCATAATTTAATGTACTTAAATGTAATCTAAGTTTAACCAAATAATTCACCGGATTCAAACCTGATTTCAAAATGCTTATGGGACAAGCATGTGAGTATTGCTGGGTTAGAGAGTGGAATTATCTTTATTTCATATCTCTTTTGAAGCTGTTTGTTGTGAATGAAGACAATCATCATGCAAATTAAGTTTAATTTGTAACAAAGTCCCATGCTTTCCTTGCTTCAGCACTTGTGATACCTTTAAACCCATCTCCTTCATCCTCTCTTTCCCTCACAAAGAGTGTTTACAGAACAAAGTTATTTGAAGCTGCATAAGACACCTCTCTCTGTCCTTGTCTTATTACACTTGACATAATCTTTTTCTTTAATATGCATTTTTTAAGCACTTAGAATCCCATGTGATTTTTGATTAAAAGATAAGATGGTGAAGTCTCAATGCTGTGAAAAAATCAGTGTCAAAAGGGGTGTGTGGACAGCAGAAGAAGATGCAAAGATACTTGCATTTGTCTCCAAGCATGGATCTGGTAACTGGACTTCTGTCCCCAAAAAAGCAGGTTAGAGATTTTTTTGAAAAAGCTTTTAGTTAATGGAATTTCTATAACTCAGATTTCAACTTCTTAACTAGACGTTTTGCATTTGAGGCCATTTACACAGGACTTAAGAGGTGTGGGAAGAGTTGCAGGCTTAGGTGGACTAACTACCTCAGGCCTGATCTTAAACATGATAACTTCACACCCCAAGAAGAAGATTTAATCATTAAGCTTCACGCAGCCATTGGTAGCAGGTGAATAAATGTGGACTAGTTCTTCAACTAGCTCTTGCTTGCTTTACTTGTGGATTATTTTGTGACTTAATGCAGCCTTATGTGACCCTATCCTGTCATAGTCATCTAGCACATGCTTTCTCTTGTTGCATATGCAAAAAATTAGATCATATGATCACCATTTAAGTTTCCTTGTTATTATGGAGTAACATTCCAACTCCAGCCATAATTTCCTGCAGATGTTGCTCTCTTATTTATTTCTCTCTTTGTTGCATTTGAATGTTCTACATAATCTAAAGTTTGTATACCAGTATTGCGGAGTTAATGCTTGGCAATAGAAAGAGGGATGCACCAAATGATGGTAGCTCAGTTGACGCATAAGAGCGGAGCAAGTTGGGATGAGAGCATCTATTTGATCATCCCTAATATCATCTTTGAAAGAGGTTTAAAGCTTTAATTCTGAACTCGTCCCGAACTCCGGATTAATCCATAAGGAACCTATGGAATTACCAGTGGAGAAATCCAATAAAAAAAGAAAAGAAAAGAAAGAGGGATGGGATGCTAAGAAAAAACACTTGAGTTATTGCTTGGCTGTGTTTGTTGTGTGTGCCACATGATGTTACACGCTTCTACTAAGCAAAATATACCATCTATTTTTATTCCGCTGAGTTCATGACAAATATAATTGTCAACCTTTTCACAGGTGGTCTATAATAGCCCAACAACTTCCTGGGAGAACAGACAATGATGTAAAGAACTATTGGAACACAAAGCTGAAAAAGAAGCTCTCTCAAATGGGGATAGACCCAGTTACCCACAAGCCCTTCTCTAAACTCATTGCTGACTATGGAAATATTGGTGGTTGCCAGAAACCAAGTACCCGAATTGGACCTGTCAATAAAGACTTCAAGAATGCAATCCTGTTAAAATCAGAGCCATATCAAGCCCTCCCACAAGGATTTAGAAACATCAATGACCAACCAGAGCTACCACCAACATCATCGCCACCCAAAATGGAACCAACTCCAAATAGCTTTTTCTTTAACCAAAGTCATAGTGATAACCTCTCAATGGATCTTGCTCAGTTTCAATCCATACCAATAATGACAAGTGCCTCAAATGGCAAGGAATTAGCATCTATATTTGGGGAAGGCTGCTTATCAAAAACTTCTTCATCATCATCATCATCATCATCTACTTCTTCTACTGCAGCACATGAAGCCTCACCCATACCCTTCAGTTGGAATGACTTTCTTCTAGAAGATGCTTTTGCACCACCTGCTGATAACCAAGAACAAGATCTAGTAGCTGGATTCTTGTCAAAGGACTTGGTGAGCCAAATAGAGAATGTGACGAGACAAAGTTGGAATAAGAAAGAGCTCAGATCACACCAAGCCCCAAGCAATGACTTCCAATTTTCATCATCCCCTAGTATTTCATTCGTAGAAGCCATGCTTGATCAAGAAAATGAGATGTTTCTAAGTTTCCCTCACCTTATGGAGGAACCATCCAACTACTGAATCATAAATTTCCTAATAATAATTTCACAATAAGGTAATAGGACTAGGTTTATTACTTTATTGTGTATTCTGGACTAGCAATATCATTATTTTGTTCCTTCTTGTTTTAAAAGCATTTATCATATATCAACATTAGATGTAATATATATATAATTTTTAAAGGATTGAAATTAATTAAAAAAAAAAACTCACACTACAAATAAATAAGATGCCAATTACTTTTATTTCTTAAAACTCAAAAAGGTTATTTTAACAACAATGAAGACAATGTAACATATGCCAGACTACGTGTTTGTAATTTTTTTTTAATGTGTCCGAAATTATAATGGAACTGATTAATTCAGTTTTAGATTTATGACTTTCCACCCTTTACTTAAATTAGAATTTTAGGATTCCAACCTACTTGTGAATTTTTTTTTATCTTAACATTCATCATGGTTTGCCATTGGAGAAATATGGGGGGCAAATAAATTGAAGTCCACAAAACAATTTATTACGTTATTATACAAAACAATTCAAATATTTCTTGGGAAAACTTTTTCTCATATTGCATGAGAATTCAACTCTCATGTTAGTGACTCTTCGATTTGCGTGCAAAATTTTTCTTTTCTTTTTCTTTTTTTAATAAATATGGGGTCCACCACTAGTTAAATACAACATGAGAATTGAATTCTCATACAACATGAGAAAATCAAATCTCATATTTCTTATATCAAAACTTTAGTTATGAAAACTTCAATATATATATTTTTATAATGAGTTTGATTAAAAGGAGATAAGTTATGTCATGAGACAAATTTGTGAATTTTATTACTTAAAAAATTAAAAAGAGCACAATTATCAAAGAATATATAACAGAAAAAACTTATCTCATGTCTCATATGAATAGTTTTTACAGCTTTTTTAATGTACGGTAATGTTTTTGGGTGTGTGGTGGGAAACCTATATAACAATCCAAATTGAGTTGGGAAAATGGTAGGAAACGCAAAAGGGGTAAGAATGGTGGCAATTTCGCTTTACAGAGGGAATCTTCACCGTGTTCCGGACGTGCCTCGTCGATGGCTAATGCCAAATCCAAAAATCTCTCTCAAAGACTTCAAATCCCTTCTAGCTCGTCGTTCCAAGGCACTCTCTCGCCTAAACGCCACTACCTCCTCCAACCCTAACCCTAACCCTGACCCTGACCCTACCACTCTCGCCAACGCTCAAAACGGTTCTCAAACCGAACCACCAAAGGATACGAGCAATCAAGGCGAAGGGCCTTCGAACACGGCCGAAGAAGAAGATCGCAAAGAAGCGGAACTCGTTGGTGGTAGTTCCGTGAAGAAACCAGTTGATGGATCTGATTCGTTCATCGATTCGAAGAACGATGCTTCGGAAAAAGCATTTGACGGCGGTGTCACTTCGCCGGAAAAACAGACTGAGCCGGTAAGCTTACGATTTCACGCGATTTCGTGATATCGTTTCAAGCTATCAAGTTAAAGGAATTGTTGTTTAATTTTTGTGTGCTTTTCGCCGTTGATATCAGCTTTTGTTTGCTTACAATTGCGATGTGTTTTCGTTCTAGATCACGGACTATGTGGATGTGCTTAATGATAAGGAGAAAAGGAAGAAGGAAGTTGAAGATAAGTTGCAAGTTTTGAATGCGAAGAAACATAATCTGGTGTTAGTGTTGAAGCAGGTAAATGATGGTTTTCGTTCGAATGTTCTGTATGTGTCCTTGCATTTTACGAATGATAGGTTGGCTGCGTGAATTGGCAGATCTTGAATGCAGAGGAAGAATTAAAGAGAAGAAATAGTATGCAAGGGGTTGCAATGCGTGGCCCTTCTGTTCCACTTCAAGCTGATGGAACAAATGATACTGGTTCAATGACCAGGCATATGGCTCCAAGGTTGGGCTCTGAGGGAAATCTTGTTGGTTATGTCGATGGCGGCGAAGCTGATGATTTTGCTAACCATAATATGCATTCTCGCCATATGCTTCGGACAAGTAGCATGTCCCCTTCTTCAGAGTCCCCTCTTAGGAGGACCCCAAGCGTTCAACAGAACGTGGTAATGTGTATTGCTTATTAAGATTAATCATGTTGCTAATGTGTAACTGTGGCAGACTAGTCAGGGGTATGTTTATGCATGCCACCAACTAAACCCATATACTCACTGAACATTAAATGGTACCTGGTGCATTGTGCACCAACTCAGTTCCAGAATGGGTTGAATCCAGTACCAAAATATGTTGAATTTGTATTAATTGGAAGTTACTTAGGTCTGAATTGAAATTGTGGTCATGTTTCATGTACTCAGTTGCCTAATATTTTTTATTGCTATAATGTTACAAAGTAGCTTGTATTTGTACAGAGTATGAACGTACATATGCTGTTTTGTGTAATTGCTAGGCTGCGTCCATACCACTCAGCTTAACTTCAACTTCAACTTCATAATCTTATCTTTCTTCTTTTTTTTAGCCGATTATTATGTCTAACTAGAACTGCCTACCTTGGTGCATATCTACATATCTCACTGCAAATTATATTTGAGTAGATTATGCCATGTTCAACTGAATATATATGAGTAAAGATCAAGTTGGAAGGAGAGCGGGAACTCAATTTAAACCCATAATTACAATATTACCTTGAGTTGCCCAGTTGTGGGATCGTATGTATGATATATTATTAATGATTAGTTGTTACATTTTCTATGTAGGTTTCACACCCTTCTCGAGCAAGTTTGGGGGCCACTGGTAGTCCGTCACGCTTTGCTCTTTCAGGACATCAGGGGAATCCCATGAACCTGCCTTCAGTGTCTGTATCAGGAGCTAGTTACATTGCATCGTCCCCTTCCCCAGCAGCATCCGGTGGCACTTCTGTCTTTAGAGATGCTCGGCAGCCAAGTCCATGGAAGTAGATGTTTTCTTCCTCTTCCTTGTGATGATGTTGATGTGCTATCGTTCTCAATTTCTGAACTCTGGTTGGTGTATATAGTTTTCTGAATGAGCAATGCTAGGAAGACCTCTGTCTGTTTACTGAGAAGTTCTATGTATTGATTCTTCAAAATTGGACTGCCTAGTGTGATACCATATTGCCAAATTCCTTTTTTTTTTTTTTTTGCTGTCTTCTTGAGCGGGGTTTCCAGTTATAATATACTTATGTTTTAAAACATTGCAACATGAATGATTTACGGGGTTTATCGACAGCCAGCAGGTTCAAGCTGTAAATCTGGAACAATGTTAAAAGATTTGAAATATCCAGAGCTGTACCTTTTACACAGGTCTTAATTCAGACATCGTTCTTATCGTCTGTTGTACATTTTCTTTTTTTTCTTTTTTTTTTTGGCCCCTCTTCCGGCAACAAATGCTCATGTGGGACGGGTTATCGTTACAGAAAGTAATTTTTTTTTTTTTTTTGGTAAACGCAGAAAGTAATATTTATTTTTACTTTCGTACCCTTTAATGTAATATTTTTAAGCACAAGAAAGCTTATTAGCTCATCAACTCAAGTACAGCTCTTTTATGACTTTCCCTTTTGTTTTTCTCGTTATAATATACAAATTGGAAAATTGTGTAACAAATTGTAAATTTATATGAATAATCTCTTTCTACTTCCACCTTATTCGAGGTGGACAGTATAATAAATGTTAACAAAAGATAAGTAGAAATAAATAATTTCTTGCGGGTTTTTGTGTGTGTTAATCTTTTGTCCTTTTCTACAATAAAAATTATAAGTATGCCTCGTATCAAAATAATTCACCTATCTATTCCTATATATCCGAGTATGGATCCAGATACTCGAGTATGTGTTATTCCATGCAATATACTCGAGTAAGTGGATCCATATTAAGATATATGTTTAAAAGAATTTTTATAGGGATTTTTCAACGTTTAATTTTTGAAAAGTTATGTGTAATCAGAAAAAAGCACCTGATTTGAATATCAAAGTCAAAAGTTATGGCATTCTGAAATTTTATTCTAAAATTTTCAAAACTTTGTAATGCCAATAAGTTTTGTAATACCCACAAAACTTATTCTCAGGTTACCCGACTCAAATTCAATATTATGAATATATGACTATTGAAATTTGTTTGATCCAAAAAATATGATGTTCAATTTTTTCCACGAGATTTTATGGTTAAATACGGACAACTGAGTGGTTAAATTTTTTTTTCACGATATTTTTTGAATCAAACAAGTTTCTATAGTCATATATTGGACTTGACTCGAGTAATCAGAGAATGAGCTTTGTTGGGATCACAAAACCTATTGACATTACAAAATTTTATAGTAAAACTTCAGAAAGTCATAACTTTTGACTCGGGTGACCAAATCAGATGATTTTTTTTATTCCATATAACTTTTCAAGAGTTAAGCGTTGAAAAATTCTGATAATTTTTTCTTTTGAACATATACCTGGGTATAGATCTAGATAATCGAGTATATTGGGTGGAACAACACATACTCAAATATCTGGGTCCATACTTGAGTATATATTAAAAAAAACTCAGAATACTCGAATATCTGGGTGCATATTCAGGTATACAGGCGCAGATAAGTAAAATATTTTGATACGATGACAGAAATAATTTTTTAGGTCGTACAGGGCATGGTGGTCAAAAATCCAATTTCTTACCCTATTAAAGTTTAAAAAAATAATAATAAAAAATACAAAAAAACAAAACCATGGCTAAGTATAAATAATGACATACATGAATTTCGATATTGAACAGGAGTACCGCATGACACCGATAGGTGAATCAGATCAATTTTAAAAATTATAGGACACGAAAATGACTTTAAACAGCATATAAAAAGATTTAATATCATTATAAAAACACATTTTATATACTAGAAATATCCTAAAAGTTAGGATAGCTATTTTTTTTATTTTTTTTGAAGCATATAGCTATTTTGAAGTAGGCTATTTTCTATATTTAGTTATTTACACCCTAATCTTTGCTCATAGCCCATATTCATAGGTAACAAAGAATACAGAAAAAGTCAACGGTCAAAGATCCCTCATTCGAAGTCCCACACCTCCACACTGCCCTTGTCGTCATCGAGGGTGGGCAATGGGCAAGTGATGGATCTCAATACTACAAAAGTTCCCATCTATTGCACAGTACCAAGTAAAGTTACCATTTACCACCACACCACCATCCATCTTCTCTTCACCTTGTTTATTTCCCCCACCCCAAACACCTACAACCTACCCAAACAAAACAAAATAAAAACATAAACATAAACATAAACACTCTTCTCACTTCTCCATTTTCTACCCCTTACATTCCATTCACCATCATGGCTCACCGTCCCACTCAACGCCGCAACTTAACAACACCAGAACCCAATACCTCTTCTATAGGTGGTTGTGGTTCCACTCCTGCTAAACACCCCAATCCCACCACCTTCACTGCCACCCTTTCTCACTGCCCAACACCAATCCCAGATTTCTCCTCTAAGCCTTCTTTTATTCTAAAATACTTGTCAAGCCTAAACATAACTCCCAAAGCCCCTCCACCCCACAAACTATCACAAACCAATCACCCTCCTCAGCCGCCACCGCCTCTTGTTGACACCCATTTCCCCATGACATCCTCTTCCATAGTTGATTCATACAAGTTATCTCTCCTCAAACCCAATACCCAGATCACCAGAGTTGCACCAAAGCTTGTAAAAGAGAGCAAGCCTACAGAGAAACCCTCTAAAGAGAAGAAGCCTAAGAAAAGCAACACAGAACTGGAAAGGTGGAATCTTGAAGGTGTAATGAGGAATGAAAAGAAGGATTCTGATGGAGGGCTTTGTAGCCGAGTTCTGTTTGAGGATTTTAAGGTTGAAAAATTGAGGATTCCTCTTGTGGAAGAGCTTGATGCTGTTGAGAGGAACTCTGTTTCACTTGCTCCTCCCAGTGGTGGCAGAAGGAGATCCTTATGTGGCTCACAAGTTGACTTAGGATATGTGTTTGCAGTCAATGGGGTGAAAGTGGTTTCAGCTGATATGCCACCATTTATGCAGATCCATGCTGTGGATTTTGCAAGAAAGGCTTTTGATAGCATGGAGAAGTTCACATCCAAGACCCTTGCCTTCACCCTCAAGAAGGTAGGTTGTAGTCATTTAATTCAATTCCTGGATTTTTCAATTTAATTTTTGCTGTATTTCAAACTTTTAAGTGTCATTTTCTTGTGATTGGTTGGGGTGGTTGGAATTTTTGCAGGAATTTGATAGGGTTTATGGGTCGGCATGGCACTGCATTGTGGGGACTAATTTTGGGTCTTTTGTGACACACTCTGTTGGAGGATTTCTATATTTCTCTATGGATCAAAAGTTATACATCCTCTTGTTTAAGACTGCTGTACAAAAAGCAAGTTGAAGGCAGTGACTTCTAAATAATATATATCTTGGAAATCCTTTACACATTGCTTCTACTTGAAAAATGGATCCCCCTCCTGTTCCCTACTAATTAAGTAATTATGATATTCCGTGACCTCTTTTTAAGTGGATCTGATAGTGTCAATACATTGTAACTAATGGGATTAATAGAAGAAATCACCTTTAATATCTAATCAATGTGTTTAGACTTGTGATTTTTGTACGTTTTATTTTCATTTTCACATTATTTAACGAAAATGCTGAGAGGTAGGAAGATGAGTTGCTGTAAAGATTTGTCGTGATTGTAAGGTGTGTAACTGTAGCATATTTGCATAGTGACGACTGCTACATGATGGATGATTTTTACACACATTTTCAGCAGAGAAATAATAAAATGGATTTGACGAGTATGGTAAGAGTTTTCAGCGGAGAAATAATAAAAGGTCACATATGGCAATTATAGCTCAAATAAGGGGGAGAAAAGCTGATATCTGATGTGACATTTCGTTTCTAGAAATGAAAGGTCATAGAAAGCGTGCTTCTTTTGTTTAGTTTAGATCATTTTCTCACGTCTCTCAGTCACTCGTTGCAAAATTTTGCAAAATCATTTTAGAGTAAATATTTTTTTTGTCCTCGTTAAATTTTACAATGCCCGTTTTAGTCCCTAGCAAATAAAAAAGTCTATCGTGGTTCTTAAAAAATTCAAAATGGATTCATTTAGTTGAAATCGTGGTTCCTCACAAATCTAAAAAAGACCTATATTAGTCTCTCGAAATGACTAAAACGAATCCATTTTGAATTTCTCAAAAGACGACGATGGGTTTTTTTATTTGTTAAGAACTAAAGCGGACATCGTGAAATTTGATGAGAAAAAAAGTATTTACTCGTAATTTTAATTCTTAGATAGTTTTGGGTCTGTCCCATTAAATTTTAAGTTGGAACTTTAAATGCCCTTTTCTTGTGTTCTTGTTGTTTATCCCGTACATGTGTATGTAAGTAGAAGTTCTTGGGTTATTTGACCTAGTACCTTGGGAAAATGCTTGCAGCTGTGGCCTGTGGGGTTTGGTATTGTTTCACTGCAGCAATAACTTCCGAAGGTACCAATTGAACATTCTAAAAGAGCAGTGATGGTTCTGCTTCCTTTTTAATTTTCCTTCGTTTTTCAAAATGTTCACCTATCTTAATTCATTAATAGCTTCTGATCAAGTTTGATTTTATGCTAGTTTGTGCATAAAAATTTGGAATACGGGACTATCGCCACTCTTTCATTAACCATACAAAAGTACTTTTACAAAAACGATTAGCATGTTTTTGGCAAGAAATTGAATCTCGAAATATGTGTCACTCAAATCTCGCAAGGATCGTTTAATAGAAGCTACATTTGTTAGTGTCCAAAAATAATGATTCTTAGAAATATAGTGGGAAGGTCATTTTTTTATTAAAAATTATTTTGGTAGGTCAAAATATTATTGAGATTTTATCCCAATAAAGTATAATTTTTTTCAATAACTAGGATTCTAAGAATACCCGGTAATGGAATGACATTTTGAAAGAAAAATCGTACACAAAATTAAATCCTAGATTTCCCGAATTTTTTTTTCAAAATTCTTATATCAAATATGAATAAATAGAATTCTTACTATCACTTTCTTAAAAATCTCAAAAAAAATTCCCAAAGCATGTATCAAGAATTCAACGGTATAACCCTACGAACAAACTCTCTAGCACTTTATGGAGGATACCCCCCTCTTTTCTTCTAGGGGTCCCACCTGTCACCTATTTATTATATAAACAAGAAAGTCCCATTATATATATATATATATAGAGGCAGAATCCTTTGACACCGGTGTCAAAGAAAAAGTTTGACACCTCATCTGAGAACCATTAGATTAAAAAAAAATCAATGGTGTCACATGTTTACAAATCAGAATCGTTGATTTTTTTTAATCTAACGGTTCTCAGATGAGGTGTCAAACTTTTTCTTTGACACCGGTGTCAAAGGATCCTGCCTCATATATATATATATATATATTTCAGTATAATTTAGTGTTATATTATGTTTATATAAAGGGTTCACTTTTTGTCATGTGACATGACTAGAGCACTTTCCTGCACACAAAAATCAAGTGTGGGTCCCACGCTTAAAATAAAAAAGTTAGACCAAAATTAGGATACGACGACGTATCCTTAAGATACAGACGCGGATCCTTGTTGCAGGAATGAAGAGTGTCATTCCTGCAACATGATTCTTATATTTCCCTTATATAAATTGTAAAAAATAAAATAGAGAATTGGAGATGCACATGTAAGTGGAAAAAGTATAAAATATAAAGACGTTGGGGCGACAATTTGGGCCTTGTGCTTCAAAAAGGAGGTGCAGTCATCTATGTTTCTAAGGCTGTTCTTCCTGCGACTGCGCATAGAGGTAGATCTCAATGTCTCATTCTTGGTAGCAGTGGAGAACGGCAAAATTGGTAGAAATTTTTCGTTCTTTGCAGTTTGCACCAAACATAAAACAGGGTCTCTCTTCGTTACGGTTCTGGAATAAGGTGGGTATGAAGACTGTTACAAATACAATTCAAGCATGCAACAACACACGTAACAAATTCAAAATCCAATTTAAGTGACAACTAAATTCAATCTAACAATTAAGTCACGTAAATAATAGAGATGTTCATCAATCGATTCAAACAGATTCAAACTACGGTAATCAGACTGAAAAATTGATAATTGAATTAATCGAAAAAACAAAGAAAAAAAGTGCATATATTTTAATCAGTCTTAGAGACAGAGAAGTTTAGTCCAATGGACTAGTATGTTACTTTTGGATCTAGGATCTCTCTTAGACTGTTATGTACACACACCCCTTGGCTTAAGTACTTATGCGAATGGCCCAATCCCATGTATTATGTTGTCGTATCAGGATTGGTATCTTTGATTGGATTTCTTTCCTTAACTGTATTTGATTTATATTTGAATTGTCTCTTGTTGGGCTTACCAGTAAATGGGCCTCATATATGAGTCCATAACATATTTAATTGGATTGAATTGATTTTCAGTTTAATTAATGAAAATCGATCCAATATATTATATATTTATTATATTAGTGAATAATTTTTACTAAGTATACATCATGTAAATTCAAATGCAAATGTTGTTAACAAGACTTTCCTTAAAATTGGCATGACGATCTCTTTATTGAAATATCACGGCCGAATCTACATTTTGTAAAAAAAAAACAAACAAACAAAAAACAAACGGATGCCCTTGATATTGGGATATATCACAAATTTTATAATATTACCAAAATATAGAAGGCCCATTGGAGGCCCAATAACATACAAAGAAGCCCAATCTCATGAAGGGTCCAGAACTAAGCGCGATGGTCATCATCGCGCACATAGCAAGACGCGATGCCCCCATCGCGCATGGAACCGCCCTTTGGCATAAACTCCAGGAAAGAGAAAACTAACTTAAGAACAAGGCAAGCCACCCGCGCCTTTCTAATAGACAGAGGACAGCACCAGCTTGTCGCGACTCTATAGTTTGACATTAAGAAGATAAGGCTACTCAGGTTCTAGCCTGACTTGCACCCTAAACCTAGCCAATCAGAGGCCATACCGCCTTACTAAGGCGACATCGTAATCGCTATATAAGCAGAGGGTACAATACCCAGGTACAATCATCCTTTATATTAAGAACATACAAACTCCTGCCTCTGATACTGACTTAAGCATCAGAGTGTCTTTGCACGTACCCCCCATTCGGATTCATCGCGCTAGCAAAGGACAGAGACATAGTGATATCCGATTGCAACTCCAGGCCCAAGACCAAGAACACTATCCACATCTCAACCGTGTGTGATTAAACTTGATACATATTGGCCAGCCCATATTGTATTTGATCTGATCATTACCTTAATACGGGAACTTCACAAATATTGTCAGAAACTAGAGAAATTTTATGTGGTAAAACACCCCTGCAAAGTTTGGGAAACAAAATTATAAAGGGTTTGAGTTTTCTAAAGTTACTTTAGATAACTTTATCTAATGTTCACCGAAACGACGTCGTTTTGGGACGGAAATCATGGTGTTTTTATAATTTTAATTTACTTCAGGGTTATAATAGTCTTTATCATTCTAATTTTTTAATTTTTTAACTCCAAAACGACGTCATTTTGATGAACATTAGATAAATTTATCTAAAGTAACATTAGATACTTTTTCCCAATTATAAAATAACTGAAATATATTTTTAAAGAATGGTAGAATATTCATATTAGGGGAAAAAGTTTCGGATGTTACTTTAGATAACTTTATCTAATGTTCATCGAAACGACATCGTTTTGGGGTTGAAAAATTAAAAAATTAGAGTGATAAAGACTATTATAACCCTGAAATAAATTAAAATTACAAAAATATCATGATTTCCGTCCCAAAACGACGTCGTTTTGATGAACATTAGATAAAGTTATCTAAAGTAACATCAGAAAAAATAAACCCTTCATATTAATTAGAAACTCTAATATTATTAAAAGGGGATTTGGATAAATAAAAAAAACACAGGAGGTAAATGATAAAAATTAAAGTATATGGGGCAAGTAATTCAATGTCAAACCACATGAGGTATTTTAAGTTTTGAACTTTTTCCTTATTATTTTTAAAAGATGATGACTTAAAATCTTGTTGTTTTGTAGACTTGAAATCTTGAATGTTATTGATAGCAAACTACCTTATTTTATTTTTTTATTATCTATTTCTCTATTTTAACTCTTCACAAGCTTTAAGGCTTCTTTTAGTTTGGTTTGTAACTTGTGTATGATTTCATTTTTATATAACTAGAGATTTGTATGACTTCATTTGGATTATATTGGATCGGATTGTTAGCCTAGTGGTGTGGGGTGTGTGTGTTAGGAGTGTGTGTAGTGTAGGGTGTTGTGTTCAATTCCTTGTAACCTCAAAAAAAAAAAGATTGGATCGGATTTTGAAAAAAAATTCAAACTT